CATTCCGATGCTCTCGACTTCCTTGCTCGGCTCGCTATCTGAAAAATCGAAAGACTCAATTGTAACAGCGCAATGATAAGCAAAATCGAATAAACCGGAGCTTGTTTTCGTGTCTCTCGGCAAGTGCAAGTGAAACCAGAAAATTCTAAAAATAATCTACGAGTTTCGTTTGGCTCACGGGTGCGAGATGCTGCGTTCACAAGTGGTCCGAATATCCGCGCCACACTATCTAGGAACACGCGTAGAAAACGTAGAAAGTACCATCAAAAAGTATCGTCGGGCTTGTTTCTCTTTCTTTTCATTTCTTTTTGCGTATTGTTTCGTTAAGCGCGATGGATAATCGGGCGAGCGAAGCAGCCGCGGTGGTAAGGTTGCGGCGAGATCGCGGTTATACGCGGTGCACTCGTCGACGCACGATAATTCGCTGTCGTGTACCTTGATGGAGGGGCTCCGGGCGATCGCCAGTGGTGGCAAGAAGATTCGTCGACGACTCGGGCAGTGCATCGTTATTCCCAGACATGTCGTTGATGGGCACATAACCGCTGCCCGCCGACGATGACGCCTTTACGGGGCTCGCGAGGAAGCTCTCGCCCTCGCTCCTCTCGGGTCGCGCTTCGTCTTCTTTGGCAAGTACAAGGAGGACGGCGGTGGCGGCGTTGGCAGTATCGGTGGGCGTCGCTCTACGCTCTCGCGAAGGCTCTACCACGGTCCTTGGCGACTGTCGTCCCGTCTTCGCGTCCTCGCCCTCTTCCTCGTGCTCGTCACCGCGATTATCAGTGCTCGTGCGCTCCCCCCCAACACCACTATTTACATCGCGTCGCGCGTTTGACACGGCAGCCGAAGCAATATCGGTGGCCATCTTGATTTTTCCCACAGCGTTGCGCTTACTTCTTTCTACGCACGCACACCAATGCGCGCACGTATGCGCCAAACGAGACGGCGCACCGATGCTGAGGCGACGACGGCGACGGCGACGATCTCCGGACTCTGGCCGGGAGTCCGGTGAATTTTATAATAGCGGCATCGTCGACGCATTCTCGACGCTGGCCGATGCCTTCTTTATTACTCGCTAAACGGCCGAGTCAAATGCTAAATTGCCGTGGAGCCATGAAGGATAATAGGCCGCCGATGCGTGAGTAGCGTGGCAAGCTGAAATATTGTAAAATAGCCCTAATGCGTTCGTACGCGCGCGATTCGTGACGTCGGAGGCGGATTGAGAGCGATTCGCAGTTAGCACACGTAGAAGAGGCTTGGCCGAGTCGTCGCTGCAGCCGTGTAAATAATCTAAATGTGCGCGCAGTCAAATTGACTGCTGTGGCTTTCGTAGTAGTAGTAGTAGTAGTAGTAGTAGTACTAGTAGTAGTAGTCTAGTAGTAGTAGTAGTAGCAGTAGTAATAGTAGTAGTAGTAGTAGCAGTAGTAATAGTAGTAGTAGTAGTAGCAGTAGTAATAGTAGTAGTAGTAGTAGCAGTAGTAATAGTAGTAGTAGTAGTAGCAGTAGTAATAGTAGTAGTAGTAGTAGCAGTAGTAATAGTAGTAGTAGTAGTAGCAGTAGTAATAGTAGTAGTAGTAGTAGCAGTAGTAGTAGTAGTAGTAGTAGTGTTGTCGTTGTTGTTGTTGTTGTTGCTGTTACTGTTACTGTTACTGCTACTGATACTGCTATTGTTGCTACTGTTACTAATGTTGTTGATGTTACCGCTGCTGCTGCTGCTGCTGCTTTATTCAGTCGATGCCTCGATGCCTAATTACTTGTGGATTTAAGCAAACACGATGGTGAAGCGAGACTTGGAAATATGTAATGTATCGAATATTGATGTTGCGCATGAATTGAATGGACCGTGATTAAGGTGGAGAAT